ATTTAAATGATCGTGGCTTCATTTACATTTACATGGCTGCTGCGCTGAGCCAACAAACAGCTGATCAGCTATTTGTCGGCTCAGCGTGGCAGCCATATAAATGTAAATGAAGCCGCGATCATTTAAATCGCGGTTTCATTTGCCTTTGCTGAACAAACAAATCTACATGCCTCTGCCGACAGAGGCATGTAGTTTAGACGTACCCCTAGTGATAGCACCAATGGGAATTGTTTTAAATGGCTTAATCTGCATGAGAAAGATTGTAATTGCAATGTCCCTGAGTTAGTGGGAACTGACATTGCATCCACACACAAATTGATGTTACAGTTGATGTCTGCAGGCTGCTGGCCAATAGTCTGTAAAAATTACTGCCTACAAGTTGTAAGAGTGATGCTGTAGCAGTTGGTGCAAGCTTAGTCATCTGAGTGCCCACATGAATGCATCCTGTTACTGTAATCAAATCATGTAGTGTGGACAAAACTTTGGTGTGTTTTTAAAAGCAGCTGAAGAAGTATGGGAAAGTAAACATACTGCATGACATATGATTGCTAATGTATGTATAGCACATTGAAATAGATTGGATTCAAACAGTATCCCAAATCTATGGTAAAACCAGTTTTTACTGACTTTTCATACATCATCTGTTTGTTTTGGCAGCTGGTTGTCTTTGTGCTTTGGCTATGTCAGTGCTTTTTCATCCCTGCTGTGCCACCTTACCTTTGTTTGGTAATCTCCAAGAGCAGAATGTCACCTTTGTGGTCTCTATGTTGGAAGGCATGTCCTCCAAGCAAGATTTTCTGAAGGAACATCTCATAAAGACTCTCTTCTTGATGGCCAACAGTCCAACAGAGTCCATGTTCAACATCATAAGTTTTGCCAGCAAGGTAATGCCGACTCAGCCATTGCTGTGTAAAGGGTTAAGAGTTTATAAGAAAGCATAGTAAGATGACATCAGTGAAAACAATGCTTATCATTGTTACTGTGTTTGAATTTTATCAATTAACTAATATAACCTCTGCCAAGTGAGGTGGCTATAGTAAGTTAATGATCTTCAGTGGGGTGAAATAAGTATAATAAATTAGGGGTGCAGAAGTCAGTACAGGGGGTTGGGTTGTGGAGGGTGCAGGAGTCAGGGAAGAGGGTTGGGGGTATTAGGGACTGGTGGCAGGAGGTGCAGGACTCAAGGCAGGAATTGGGGGCTTAGAGCAGGGGGTGAGAGGTGCAGGAGTCAAGGCAGAGATGGAGAGTCTCAGGGCAAGGGGTGGGGGAGCACAGAAGTCAAGGCAGAGGGCTGTGGGGAACTCAGAGCAGGACTATAGGGGGTGCAGGAGTCACAACACGAGTGTAGGGGTGCAGGAGTTAGGGCAGGGGATTGTTGGGGAGGGCTCAGAGTAGGGGATTGAGAAGTGGATGGAACTCAGGGAAAGGTGCTAGGTATATGTGTATGGAACCATGGGCTGGTCTCTTACTGGGGCACTGCACTGTGATGCACCAACTTACTTTCACCATTGGTCATAACTTCATTAAAATTTGGCCTTTTCTCTCTGCCTATGACTTAAATAACTCAGGAACAGAGGGAGAGAGAGTAATTCATCATATTGATGAAAATCAGTCAGCTCACAGTTACCATACTGAGTAATACAGATGATACACAGAAAACCTAATAAACTATCTTGTTAGTCTTTAAAGTGCTACATGACTGCTTTTTTGTTTTAGAAAAACATGAGGCAGAGTTAGACAGCAATGAACTTGGCCTTTGGAATCTGTGATTATACAGAAACTCTCATAAGATTGATGGGTCCTTTTCATTTTTACCCAGGAAAATGTCTGGAATTCTCCCACAGCCCTTGATGGATGTTATATTCTTCTTATTCCTCTTCCATCTTCCTCTAAGGAAATCCCCTACAAACCTCTTTGGAGTCTCAAAACTCCCCTCACCCTTAAAGACTATAAAATATCACTCCTATTTCTTTTCCAGGAAGTTAGAATTCACCAGATCTTAACTGACTAAAGAAATTGTATTGCAAGATGTGAGAATCTTCCTTCTGCAGCCCACACAATGAGCAGGCTGGGAATCAAATGCAGGATCTCAACTATATTAGCCTATTTGTCAAAATAACAGCTAACTAATCCATTTCTCAGTTTTATCAAGTTTGAAAAAATGCCGTGATATACAAATATTTGCCTAATTAATAGAAGTTTATTGTTTGATTAAAATAATTGGTCTTTGTACAGGTGGTAAAATGGTGCAGTAGTATGGTCAAATGTTCGCTCAGTAGCATAATTGAAGCAGCTGCCTGGATTAGAACTCTGCAGTGTGGGAAGGGTGCAGATGCTGTGGGCGCTTTGGCTTTGGCACTTGAAGACCCCACCTGCCAGGTGGTATACTTGGTCACTAATGCACTCTCTGAAAGTGCTTCAGAAGAAATCTGTAGCCTTCTTGCAGAGACTGGGGAGACACGTCCCGTGCACACTGTGTACCTGGTCGAAAAGCCAAGTGATTATGAAAGCAGCACGCAAAAAGTATTGGAGAAAGTAGCCAGACAATCTGGAGGATCCTTTCAGGTGATCACCCCACATTCCTCTGGAGCTGCAGGAGAGGTAACGCAATAACAACAGTTTTAGATTGAATGAGTTTTTGGTAATCCCAGTTCATGTAAACAAAATTTCACAAAACTGGATCTGAGGTAGAGAAAAATTTCTCTCTAGAAAGGTCGTCACAAGATAATTTTGTCTGGCTGCATGTGCATAAAGACAGGAAATAAATTCAGAATCTCTGTTAAAGATTATATCTGAAATTTCAAGATTGCACACAAACACAATTGTCCTTGTAGCCCGGTGGGGCTCTGGGAGGGCTCCTCCCTTTCAGGGTAAGTGGGCAGCCACTCTGTCCCAATACAGTCCTAATAAGTACTCACCTCTCTTTCTGTAGTGCTTAAAATTTCGATTTTTACTAGGAAGTGTAGAGCATGCAATATGCTCTACTTCAGAGGGAAGGGAGCATCTCGTAGAGGTCTTCAACAACAATACTTGACACCAATATTAGGGATCAAATTTAGATATACATGAGTGCAAACCTGTTTACTTCACCAGACCTAAATTTGGCCTGTGCAGTGGTGTAGATAGGCTTTCAAATTAACTGATTCCAGCTTTTGGAAATGGAGGCCAGGGGAAGGAGATGGAGGTCCTGGAGGAAACCCTTGCAAAGAAAGTATATCTTACTCCTGCCAATTGATTTCACATTACAGGCTAGCTGCCTGCATAGCAGTGATGATTACAGTAGGTCCAAATATCTTTTTAGACATCCCCTTGCTATTTGGTTCACCATCAGCTGGGAACATTGAATGTTGTCCTTCAAAAAATAAAAGTAATGTTAAATAGTGCTTTAATAAGTAAAATACAAATAACAGCATTTGTCTAGCATATATAGATTTCACAGATTTTTTTCATGGTGTGGATCACATCTTAATAAAGGGGTTATGCAGTGCACTTGGATACTGATTAAAGAAACAGACAATAATTTAGCTGCCAAGTGTTCGCAGATTTGGTTTATTTTGCATTTATAATCTAGTCTCTTAATGTTCCTCCTTTTAAATCTTTAGTTTGTTTGAAATGGGAGAAATCAACTGTAGTACACTTACAAGAGCTCATATACTACTGTGAGAAGGTGGTTAAGAACAAAGATAGATCACTGAATTTTGCTTGAGTATGAACTCAAGCTTTAAATATAAAATATCTGGTATAAAGATGGTCTCATTAAGAAATTAATTTAATTTGCTGCTTCCCTCTCCTCTTCCCCATTTTCCAGGTAAATCCAGAATGCACCTCAAGCATCCATTGCTGCAATGCTATCAGTAAATATCAGTCTTGTTCTCTGCTGATGGGTTATCCCAAAGGACAGTAAGTTCAAAATGTGGTGCATGGGACTGTCAGAGCCATTGGACTAGTAGATTAATTTGATAACGTAGTGATAAAAACAACTGAGAAATCTAGACACTTGTGGGTGGGTTTTCTTTGGCTTTAATTTTCAGAAATATGCATTATCTGTTGTGGAAATCTTTATCTCTTTCTAGAGCATACCACTGTCCTGTTTCCACAGCTTTCCTGTGTGTGGATGGAGCCGAAATTCCCCTAGTAAACCTCTGACAACCTTGATAAAGGGAAATATAATGAACTGGTTCCCAGAAGCTCCCCATTTGCTGAGGGGGGCCCGAGTCCTGGCTAGGAGAGAGACCGATGGATATTACTATCTGGGCCACATTGCTCAAGAAGTAAAGGTAAGTCTTTAATGTACAGTAAATGATGGTTATCAGTGATTCCTCATATGATGTTTCTCCCTATACCTCACCTTGAGTTTTGCTAGGGTAGGTCTTCTTTGGTTATCCCATATCTCTGTCTCTTGCTGGATGGCTATCAAGCTGTCTTCATTGGCTTATGCTCATAGGGTATGTCTACATTACCACCCTAGTTCGAACGAGGGTGGTTAATGTAGTCAATCGAAATTGCAAATGAAGCCCGGGATTTAAATATTCCGGGCTTCATTTGCATCTTGCCGGGCGCCGCCATTTTTAAATCTCCGGTAGTTTGGACTCCGTGCCCGTGGCTACACGCAGCACGGAGTAGGTAGTTCGAATTAGGCTTTCTAATTCGAATTACCGTTACACCTCGTTCCACGAGGAGTAACTAATTCGAACTACCTACTCCACAAGGAGTAATGGTAGTTCGAATTATCCTAATTCGAACTACCTACTCCGTGCCGCGTGTAGCCGCGGGCACGGAGTCCGAACTACCGGGGATTTAAAAATGGCGGCGCCTGGCAAGATGCAAATGAAGCCCGGGATATTTAAATCCCGGGCTTCATTTGCAACTTCGATTGACTACATTAACCACCCTAGTTTGAACTAGGATGGTAGTGTAGACATACCCATAGTTACCAAACGCAGGGCAGACTGTAGTGCGCATCTAATTACAAGCCTTTATTTCGAAATAATGTTGAGCTAGAGGTCTTCTTACTCTGACTCATGGTAACTCTCATTTCATGAGGAGTAAGGGAAGTCAAAGGAAGGTTGTTCTTCCTTTGACTTCCTCTTGTGTGGACAGCATCAAAAGCCGAGTTAAGCTATTTTGATGTAAGCTATCCAATTGACGTAGCTGAAGTTACGTAGTTTATTCCGACTTTAGCCCTGCTGTATAGACCTAATGTTCCCTGAGTCTCTTTCTGCAGCAGAATTTCTGCATGCGGTGGCCTGAGACTGTGCCATTACAGTGTTCTTTGTTCAGAGGGCATGGCCCTTGTATAACAAGTAGACAACAGTGATTTTGTTATGATGCCAGTCTCTGTAGTTATCAGTTAAAGACAGGTTTTCTGAAGAAAGGAATGCTCACTGAAGAATTTCATTGGTATGAATTCTGATTTGGTTTTTATGATGCCGTAAACTCAGGCCTCCTTGGCTTTCTGGAAATGTGTAATCATCAGCCTATTATGGTCAACTGAGTACTTCATGGCCACGCATGGAAAAGCTGGTTATAGATCCAGGGCTGGAGCTAAGGACCACCTAAATTAAACAAATGTGACTATATCAAAGCTTTTGGTATCAGTCAACTGTGCAGAATCATCCCACTGTATAAAATCCTCAGCAGTTCATGTAAGTCATGATTTTGTGAGGGAAAGGGAAAAGGCTGTCAAAGCCCTTCAATAGTTATTTTATCTGGGCCAGAAGAAATGAAACCTGTAGGATGATGTGTCTGAATTCAGAATGAGAATTCTAGGGGCCAGTCTGGATGAAATAGCTGCTCTATATCAGTGTTGTTAACTCTAGGGCTATGTCTAGACTGCAGGGCTTTTCCGTGATACCAGAGGTATCTGAAAAAAGATTCAGAAAAGCAGACGCATTTTTTTGCCATTCCTGTAAACCTCGTTCTATGAGGAAGAAGGGATGTTCCAAAAGAGGGTTTTTTTTTCCCCTTCATTTGGACCTGTGTAGACAGGCCAAATGCTGGAAAAGCCTCTTTCGGAAGAAAAGCGGAAAAAGATACGCAAATTGCAGTTTGCAATTTGCATATCTTTTTCTGACTTTTCTTTGCAGTGTAGACATAGCCTATGAGTCACCCTAAGAGTAGGAAAGACCAAACCCTCCGTCCTTTTTAATCAGCACAGTAACAGACTGGCTGTGTCTAGACTGGCAAGTTTTTCCGCAAAAGCGCCTGCTTTTGCGGAAAACTTGCCAGCTGTCTACACTGGCCGTTTGAATTTCCGCAAGAACACTGACGATCTCATGTAAGAAATCAGTGCTTCTTGCAGAAATATTATGCTGCTCCCGTTTGGGCAAAAGTCTTTTTGCGCAAAAGCTTTTGCGCAAAAGTCTAGACTGGCATGATTTTCCGCAAATGCTTTTAACGGAAAAGTTTTCCGTTAAAAGCATTTGTGGAAAAGAGCATCTAGATTGGCACGGACGCTTTTCCATGAAAGCACTTTTTGCGGAAAAGCGTCCGTGCCAATCTAGATGCTCTTTTCCACAAATGCTTTTAACGGAAAACTTTTCCGTTAAAAGCATTTGCGGAAAATCATGCCAGTCTAGACATAGCCACTGTTTTCCGAAATACAGGAGATAAGGATGTTTTGATGTCAGGATGTTTCTTGGTGTTTGTAGATTTCCCAACAATTTGCTAGTGGAGCAGAGGAATTATGTGAATCACTCCCTACAGCTACTGCAGATGCTCAGATTAAAACAGTAGCATTAGGGACATTTTAAAATTATGGCATTGGGGACATTTTCTTTTCTTTTCTTCTTTATTACGATGTAACTCACCATGCAGCAAACAGTAGTCTGTTTTGGCTACCCATTTTTCACTGACAGGGGTAATAGAGTTCTTCCTTAGCATGACAGTTGTGCTTCTCATCCACAGTGAACACAATACTGTCAATATCCAAGAGTGAAGGGAGAGGAGAACTTTAAAGACTGATTTGAACAGAACAGAGTGGGAAAAAAATAGCAATCTAGGTTCAATGAGTTCTCTGACCATGTGCTATTTCTTGGAATTTCTGTCAGTTTCCTCTCCCTACTGTTTGCAGCCCGCAGCCCCTTGTGTTTGTCCTGTGTGGGACTCACCTTTTTGTCTTGTATTCTGCATGGTTTAATCCTGCAGGGCTCCAGGGAATGTTTTTTAATTGAGTTTGAGAAAAGTCGGTTGCTGAGAGGCAAGGTGCAGTTTCGCATGCAAGAAACACCCCTCTATGACATTATCCACTATGAAGATGCCAGGCGACAGCCACTAGCTCCAGGAGACAGAGTCTTGGCACCATGGGAGGCTAATGGTGAACGATATGGTCCAGGCACTGTACTAAAGGGTGCAGAGAGCACAGACACACAGTTAGGTACAAGTACATTTTTCCTGTTATTATCTATGTTGGAGGAACACCTTCAAATGTGCTAGATAATGTACAGAGAGGAAAGCACAGTGTCTGCCACAAGGAGCATACAGTTTGTACAGGCAGTCCCCGGGTTACGTACAAGATAGGGACTGTAGGTTTGTTCTTAAGTTGAATCTGTATGTAAGTCAGAACTGGCATCCAGATTCAGCTGCTGCTGAAACTGACCAGCAGCGGCTGAATCAGGACGCCTGGGGCAGAGCAGCTGGGGTGCTGCCGGGTTGGTCCAGTAGCGCCCAGAGCGGCGCTGCGGGACCAACCGGCAGC